ACCCCCCCCCACACACACACACACACTCTGCCACACAATAATTGTCATTTGTCTATAAAATTGTGATAAGTACACTTCTGCATTACATTGTATCCTTAAAAACATGAAAGAAATACAATTAAATTTACAGCAAAGAATAACTTTATGAACATTGTTTTTTAGTATGTTACAGAAAATAATTTAAATGCATGAATTTGCCTAAAATGAAAAAAAAATCCTCGTTGGCACATTTTTGACCAACTTTTTGCAGCATTCTGAAAACGAAAATGAAATAAATCAATAAATTCAAATTCAGTTCAGAAACATAAATTCAGGAGCAGAATATGTAAAAGACTATTTGGCCGGATTTTTTTTCTCTCTCTCGCCTTTTTTTTTTTTTAAATCAAAATGAGGAAGCATGAATGGCAACGACGAGCACGTTTTGCAGTGCACAACTTTTCCAGCGACTTCTCAGCGTGATTGAGGTGAAACGTCTTGAAATGGCGCCTTGATTTATTTTGGCTTCGTGTATCCGCTGCCAGCATTTTTCGACCCAGTGAACACCCCCGCTCGCTCCCCGACTCCCACCGTGGTCACCGTGAAGCCAAGCGCTACAAACGTTTCGTCATACTGTATTTTCTAGTGTTAGCTTTCGGGTCACTTTCTTTTTGTCTCATTATCGTCGTCTCTCTCTCCGCCTTTCTTTTCATTTTGTCTCTTGAGGGTTTGTTTACTGCACTTCATACCGCCAGCTCGGTGCAAAAAAAGATACATTTAAAAAAAAAAAAGAGTACACCATAGAGCGAATTCTCCCTGCGCACTCTCGGACAACGAGGGCGCTACCGCCCACTGCTGTAGAGGATGTGCAATTACACTTTCTTCTATTCTCTTCGACTAAAAAAGCAGATTCCCCAGAGTCACGCGCGCCCCCCGGCTTCGCATCACGCCCCACTATTTATCTAATGATTAGACATAAGATGACGTAGCTAATCAAATGACAACAGTACAAATATACTTTGCCGCAGGCCTGCGAGGTTTCAGGCTTAAACTTCATTCATACCACACCGGTGCTCTCCTTAAATGGGGCCACAAACCATACCACTCGTCAGCTCAAAATACGATCTTGTTGCTATATTTAGAAGGCAACCGAGTAGGCATAAAAGCTTTTTGAGAGTTGCTCACATCTGACCTCCCTAAGCGCCCCGTTTGGCCAATCAACTGCATTTTGACAGAGTTGAAGCCATCTCGTCTGCCAACATTACGTCGCTACCTGCCTTAGGGGCTGCACAAAAACAACCAAAACAGTGTCCTGGGAGCATCAACAGATGGGACAAGAGATGAACTGACTCTTCCTCCTAATGTGTGCACCCATCCTCTTTGAGAACAGCCCTTTTGGGGGTGCGCTCCAATCGTGTGTGGAGCCAACCCAGATGAGTAGGAGCCCGACCCTCTGCTGGCAAGATGTTGCATGCACGAGTCGGGCTTGGGCGAGGATGTGTGTGTGTGTGTGTGTGTGGGGGGGGGGGGGGGGGGTTTCGAAAACTGGCGCGCCCCCCCCCCCCCCCCCCCCCGCTTCTACCTTTTGTTGCGCCCTTTCCCGTCATTCTGCTCGCTCATCACCTCTTGCTTTCATCGCAGTGCTCGATGTTTGATGCCCAAGGACGTCCACCCTTTACCATCAGCCCACAGCTTATTGGCTGTGACATTCAGGAGGGGAAGCAAGATGAGAGAGAAAAAAGGCCAACTCATCTCTTCACAGGCCGGAGAGCGACAAATGTTGTCACGTTTGCAGCGTAACATATACAGACGGGACGAGTTTCATGTGAGAGTCAAGGGAAAGTTTGGCACAGTAAATCCTGGAAAGTGAAATATTCACCAGCAAAAAAAATCACCAAAACATATTGAAGAGACTTTTATCTCACCTTCCTCAACATCACACACCTTTTGGAAACTGAAGTCCTTCTGCAGCAGTGGCCCGGCTAAGTGATTTGATATGATGTCACCTTCTCGCAAGGCCAACACGTCAATGCGTTTCAAGGCGAGAACACAGCCGCAAGTCATGAGGGGAAACATGATGACACGTAAACCTTTATGATCAAAGCGCCGTGTCCGAGTTGAGCTGAGGGGAGGAGCCTTTTTCCACCACGCTAGTGCTAATGCTCGTGCTAGTTTCAGGGCCAGTGCCCAGGTTAGCACCAGTTCTTTCTTTTTCCACTGCCTAAATTGGCTCTCTCTCTCTAGTTCTTAAGATGGCCCCAATTATTTCTTAAGCCTGGACACATGGAGGTTTTGAGCGGCGAACTACGGCACAATTGCATCCCACCAAAAGAGCGATGGCGGATGTGCCCAGCTAGCATGCGATCTGTGACCGGCGGCCAGCCTCGTGATCATCGACAATGATTCCCTGACTGCTATATACTACATACGATGCTATGCTAAGTTGCCATCAGATGCTAATTATTATTATTATTAATAGCGCAGGCGCTATTGGGTAAACGTCGACGTAAGCCGTGACGTTTGGACGCTTTACGATGACGTCATGATGTCGCTCCGACTTGGAAAACCAAATGCGTTTTTCCGAAGAACTTGTTCAGCACCAACTAAGCACAGCACTGGCGCCAAACGAGCATCAAGTTCTTTTGGGTGGGGGGAAAAAAAAAAAAATCAGAAAAAGCAGATAAAAAATTCATTGTATGTTCCCGATAGAGAGCGGGAGAAATGAGAATTTTTTTTTTTTGGACAAACACTCAGACCTGCTGGAGCATGTTTCGGAAGATGTGTGGTGGCCTCTAATTTGACGTACATGGACACACTGACTGATAGAAAAAAAAATGCAACAGATGCTCTTCAAATCAAAGCAGGCGTGAATGAGTGGTGAGAGGCAAGAATGCGGCGGACCGACTCGTGGCAAGCTGCAACAACCAACCCTGTCATTTGAACACGCCACAATTTGTGGCTACTTGAAAGGTTGGCGTGGGTCCTGAAGATGCTCCTCCGGATTTCCTCCCAGTCAACAACGACCTCGCGGGACCCTTCAAAGCTGAAGCGTCCGTGGGAAGTTGCTTGTGAGCCACAAAGTGCAAAATTAAGGTTCCCGAAATGCTTCCTTTTTGGAACGTCTTCAAACTCGGCCGACCCACGTGAAATATCCTGCAAACAAACTGGAAAAAATAAAATAAAACATTTTTTGGGGATAACCTGGCAGGATTCCTGGCGCGATACGTTGCGATCGTCTGCAAGTGTGCGTTTCCGTTGAGCCGGCAAGATACGGCACAGCAGGCCAAAGAGCTTCGGGCATTGTTTTCAATCAAGCTCTCGCAGCTGCTAATAGTCTCACGGTTGCTCCTTTGAGTAAGTGTGACGCCATCACGGGCCGTTATGAAGTCACTCGCCGGCTTTTGTCGCCGCATAACAGCGTCGAGGCTTGTTGCCCTCTCGGCCCTTCAACACAGTTGAACAAACGGAGGGCGGGAGCAATTTGACGGCAAAACGACCACGTTGGGGCGAGTATTTGTCCTTCCTGAGGAAGCCCCCCCCCCCGTTCCAATCCCCCCACGGCGAGGCGGCGCTTTTATCTCCCAACGTCGTCACCCGGCAAAAGGTGTGACTGGAGCACATCCTGCTCGCGGATCTTTTCGCTCCTCATTGACGTGCTTTGAAGTCCCTAAACGGCTGTTAATTGCTGGGTGCAGGCCAGCCGTTAGCAGCGCTTTCAGGACAAAAGGTGGAGGCCGGTTGGAACGGGGCGCCGGGAGGTTGTTTGACCTGTGTGCTGAGTGGCGGGGCAATATTTGTTAACGTCCTGCTTGTTTGTGTGCTTTTCGTCCGACTAGATTTTATGATCAAGCTTATCAGTACACTTGATGGAGCAGCCGTGTTAGCGCAGGCGTCCATGTTGGCTTTTTCAGAATATGACGTACAGAAGTCGGAGGCGCAGCAGCATCGTAGGTGGAAACGGTCACCGTAAATAGTGAGTTGAATTGAGCAGCGAATTGGCTGTTGAAAACAAACCAAGCCTCATCAGAATGTTCCCATTCGAGTCAGAACGCGTGATCGCATATTTCATATTGCCGTCCCCTCTCTTCCGACATCTGCCTGCCGTATCTTCGTGGGGAGCGCACATGCGTCAAAGCTACGTTCGCGATATATTTGAGCGGCTGCCTGGAAGTATGGTAGTCAGGGGAATATTTTGCCGGCTAACCTCCCCGTTGGCTAGCTAAGTCTCGCGCCGTCTGAACAACGGGAATATTTCGCCGGCTAACACCTGCTGGCAATAAACTAAAGGCAGTTTTCAAACGACTTAAATGGATTTAAAATGGGACCAAAGGCCAAGGCCACGGAATACAAAACCTCCTTCGACTGGACCAAAAGTACCGGGACACTTTTCACATCCCGGAGGCGCAAAAATGACCACAGGGTCACAATGTCAGCCAAAGTTGCAGTGCGTTTTGTTCAGACGATCGCTTCTGGCGACGTGTGTTGAGCATCGCAGTCATCTCGTCTTCACATACTTCACATTCCTCACATTTCCACTTTGCCGCTCTGCACACACACCCGACAATTTCCCCAACTCTGCACATATGTGCGTGATGGCTTTACGATGACAGATTGGCGACTGAAGGTATCATAGCGGCGGCACGGCAGTTAGCGAAGCCCCATCTGCTGGGGTGAGGAGAGTGTCAGGTGGAGGTCCCACTCGTGGGGGGGGTGGGGGCTTATGGGAGTATTATTGACTGAAAAGAGAGACTTGTGGTGACAAATGTGCGGCATCGCATGGGAAGATGAACTGTTACAACTTCCCACACAGGAAGCGACACTTGGTGGGCAAACATATTGGGACACGTGCAAGTCGTGAAAAGTTAAAAGGAAAATAAGAGTTGTTCTTGCCTTTAGAACCAAAGTTTCCACTCTTCTGGGCTTTCTCATTGATGTGGGATTTGTACTTTTTTTTTTTTTTTAAAGCTTAATCTTGGACAAGCAGTGTACAACTTTTATAGAAAATTAACGGACCTAAAGAGCGTCCCTGAGGAATGCCACTCCAAATTGGGTCTGACTGAGTGTTACACTTTGGAATGAGGTTAGGAGTGTTGTTGTGCAAAATCATGTTTGTCATAACGCACTTCCCTGAATATGTGGACAAAAGTATTGGGACACATGGAGCTTCTCCTCCAAAGCAGTCAAAATAGATTGCACTCTTCTGGGCAGTCTTTCACCAAGATGCTGGAGTCCATTTCTATTCTTTTATTCTTTTTTTTCAAAATGATGTTCTCACAACAAAGAGGGTTCAACTTTTTCTTTTAGTAAGCAGTGACCAATCCCCCCCCCCCCCCCACATGGTGATGACTAAAACTGCAAACTGCATCCCAAATGCGTTTCCCCATCTGACGCATTTTCTTCCAGGTCAGTAAACGACAAGACGTGCACCAAACTTCACCCCAAACACATCTGGGTCGACGTCAAGGCACATTTCCATCAGCGCTTTTAATATTGATGAGCATTCCGAAGAGAAAAACCACCGACGGAACTACAGCACGTAATGTAAATGTGCTATCAAGTGCATCCGGCAGCAACGAGTTTGGAGATGTGCATTATTTGGACCAAGAGATGTCCCCCCCCCCCCAACCCGGCTTCCCTTGAGCATTACTTCCACCATTACACGATCCGGAGCGCCTCTCCGCCGTGTTGCATTGTGCAGCCAAGCGTCGCCGAGCTGCATCGCGACACAGTCGACTACACAAGAAGGCCCGGAAAGGGAAAAAGGCCCGACGCGAGAAGCCAGGAAGGGTAATGCCGCTATCAATCCGGCCGAGTCCGTTCAATCTCACCGAGGAGAATCATACCCCCATAAATGTTAATGTCACCTTTAAGACATCCTAGAGACACATTACGCCATTCGGCTTTTTATTTTCAAGCCATTTTGAACAAATGTGGGTCCAACGTTCCCGGAGGATGGCTATCCATTTGCCCCCACTAAAAACACACACACACACACACACACACACACACACACACACACACACACACACACACACACACACACACACACATTGAAAATGTCAGCGTTGAGCGTACATTTCTCTCAAATGATCAAAAGTAATTCTTTCTTAAGATTTCAATTTGGACAATCGCCTTTCGATTTGCTCATCAGACGCTGCAACTTTTTGTCCACGCAAAGCATGCAGCCAAAACTTTGCGCCATATAACAGTTTTCCTCAAGTGGTACCTCACCACCAAAACGTCGATTGAGCACTTTACAGAACTAAACATCATGTCATCCTTTCTTAAATTTCAATCCATTTGTGCAGCAGATGTGGCTGCTTTCCTCACGCCATTCAAAGCATGCAGCAATGTCACACCTTAGACTGTTTTCCGATGGTGTCCACGTTTCAAGCGCTTGTTGTGCTCACTGCGCTAACAAGCGAATGTAGCACCTGATCCCAGACCAACTCAAATGGACAATGCGGGCTTTGTTGCTCCGGCTTACAGCGCGATTGCGCGAGAGGGAGAGCAGCAAACTTAGTTTTTGCACAACAAGCACCCACGTGACTTTCATATTTGCGGACTTGTTGCGTCTCCTCTTGAAATGAAAAGACACCAGAGGAGAGGCGACCTGGTGGACGAGCAGACGGCGACAAGCTGGTCAAGGCATTTCCATGACTATGACACCAGATGAGCACTCCTCACCGCAGGAGGGGGGCACACAGGGGGGGCTTTGGAGAAGCACAATGCAGGGATTTACACACGCGCACATGCACACACACACACACACACACACCCTTCCAACTTCAGAAATGCACCCTTGGAGATTTCTCCTTGACTTTGGCCATTTCAAATCTATTCAATATTCACTTGCAAACACATTTCAGATGCAAAGCAGACTTCTGCATGCCCTGATTTGGGGTGGGGGTGGGGGAGGGTAGAGCCATCTGGTGGACAAATATGGAAGAGTGGCTGAAACATTTTAGTGTGTCTATTTTTTGAATATCATGACATGACATGTATTGGGAGTTAGGCGCCACAGCAGCTTTCGGTAAAAAGACAAGATTCTTTTTTCTCTCACACAGACACACACTCACAAACACACTCC